CGGGCGTTAATGTCGGCTGTGGCCTTGTTGCCTTTTCACTGTGCTATGAATGTTATGTTAACATTTAGACGTGTAACTGGCAGAAATCAACCCGGTGTGTGCTTTTATCGGGGTTTCCTTAAAATTGGTGCCTGAGCTTGTTAATTTGTGCACTGAAATGCTTCATTTTATAAAGTATCTGTAGTAGCAAATGCCTCATGACTGCCCTGTAGTTGTGTTTGTTGCTGCTAGTTTATAGGGTGTAAGCTGAATGTGTGGGTAGAGACACTCTTAACTTTGAACTCAAGAAGAATTCCTCTTTAGAAATAAAGTGCAGTGGGATTTCTAGTGTATGTGCAAAGCAGATGAGAATAGTGATGTGATTCCAGTAGTCAATACATGTGGTGGACACAATGCCTATGTAGTGTTGTTCTGAGCAAGGCCCCGTTTGGTCCTAACGTAACTCTTCACTTTTTCCTTTCTCTAGAGCGAGGCAGAAGTGAATCCCAAAGCTTACCCGCTGGCTGATGCACAGCTCACCAAAACGCTACTGGATCTTGTGCAGCAATCCTGCAACTATAAGCAGCTACGCAAGGGGGCCAATGAAGGTGAGACCTGTGTGTTGCAAAGTGTGCTGGAAATCATCTTGAAAGAAGCTGTGGCTAGAGATGGTCTTTTCTCTCTCGCTGTGGACCTCTAACTTTATGTAGGTCTTGGCTCTTCCAAGTGTCTGTCTCCTTCCTCCTTCTTCTGTCCCGCTTAAGCAATATTCCGGGCCAGAACTAAGCTGAAATCTTTTCAGCATTTGTATGCAGTTCTGGTAGATGCCCAAACTGGGTTCCTGGTGTGTGTCCTGTGATCATGGGTACTTCAGTGTGTGGCACTGGGATTACCAGATGCCTGGCCAGTTCAGAATCATAAAAAAGATTTGGGTTTGAGGGTATCTCTAGTGCCCAAACTGTGTTCCTGGTGTGTCCCCTGTGATCATGGGTACTGGGATTACCAGATGCCTGGCCAGTTCAGAATCATAAAAAAGATTTGGGTTTGAGGGTATCTCTAGTGCAGCCTGCTCAGAAGGTGGCTCCCTTCACAGTTGGATCAGGCTGCTTGGGGTTTTGCCTAGTTAGACTTTTAAAATAGCAGTCCCTATGGATAGAAACAATCTCTTGGGACCCATTTCCCATGGCTTAAACCCCTATGGTGGTGTGTGTATGGGGGAAGGGATATATAATTCCAGCACATTGCCAGAATCATCTTCAGGCAGCAGTCTGCAACTTGCCATTTTTACTGCACACTCATGAGGACAAATCTGGCTTTGTCTTCTTTGCAGTCCCCTTCAAGTAGTTGAAGACAGCAGCTATGTTGCCCTTGCTCGCACCTCAGTCCCCTCTTCCCCAGGCTAAACAACCCACCTTGGCCCTACAGCTGCCACCTTTCTCTGGCATGTCCTCATGGTAGCATTAGATCTTCTTGCTTGTGCCAATTTCCACATCTTCTAAAGTTGTTTTTCACTACATGTCCTTTCCAGAAGGACCTAGGCTCACTCTTCAGTGTCTTTTACAGCCACCAAAACACTGAACCGAGGGATAGCAGAGTTCATTGTGATGGCAGCAGATGCAGAGCCCTTGGAGATCATCCTGCACCTGCCTCTTCTCTGCGAGGACAAGAACGTACCTTACGTGTTTGTGCGCTCCAAGCAAGCCCTGGGCCGGGCGTGCGGCGTTTCCCGGCCCGTTATTGCCTGCTCCATCACCATCAAGGAGGGATCACAGTTAAAGCCTCAGATCCAGTCTGTCCAGCAAGCTATAGAAAGACTGTTGGTCTAAATGTCCATGAGTTTAGCTGTGGAATAGGAAAGTTGGAGTTGGGAGAATTAATGTCTAGCTTTGGTTGAGATCGTTGTTTTGATATCAGTGTTTCATTTCAAAACGCCGTATTTTTTGTTTAATAAGGCTTAATTCTTAGTGTTTCTGCCTCTTCCCCCCACCCCTTTCTGTTACTCCAACATACTCATTGTATTACTTCTTGAAAAGTGATTGTACAACTGTATTTTCAGTTTGATGTTTAAAACAATGGGGAGGAAAAAAGAAATCCCTTATCTCCACATCTGCCTGCTCAGGGCTTTTTTAACTTGCCCATTAGCTTCCTCTGTGTTGCAGTACTTCTGCTAAGCTTCAGCCTCTAACAGGTGTGAGTAACTGGTTCTGAATGGTTTAGCCTGAGGATAAGGTGTGTTGGTTTGGTTCCCTGTGGAGCTGTTGCTTTACCTGATGGAGCAGCATACACCACGTGTAAGGCAGGCAGTGGCTACTGTGTAGCAGTGGACGGAGCCAGGATCAGCACACATAGCACTACCCTTCTTGAAACCAGGCAAGAGACTTCTGTAAGAGGTGTATGGGGAGCAGAAATCTTATGGCAGTGCACAAGAGGAAATCTCTTATCTCACTTATTTTTAAATATTGACTTTTTAAGAAAAATAAAATTGTTGACAAAGCTAAATATTACTGTTATTCCCTCGAGGAAGCATTTGCAACTAACTGACATGTTCCTACTTGTAAAGCTAAACCACTCAGATTGCCTGAAGGCTATTGCAGTGCAGTATTTCATATTCCTATAGTTTGATGTTGTTTTTTTTTCATGGACTGTATCAATGAGCTTGGGCTTCCTGGGGAATTCAAGTACAAAACATGGCAGAGAGGAGCCTGCTGGGGCTGACAAGTACCCTACATGTGGCTGATTGATAGTTACAAAAAATACTGTGCTTTTAGGGCAGCTGTGGTACTGTAGTCACCCAACTGAAGATGAACCCTGTAAGTCATGGGTCTGAGACAATGGAGAAGAAGTAGTTTTTCAGATAAATCAACCTGTGTCTCAAGAAGAGAATGACAGATAATCCCGTGCTTTGGGAAAGCGTGAAGCACCACCTGCATTCTGGATTAATGGTGGTTTTATTGAGCTACCTTTAGTTAAATGCATATTGTGTAACCAAATCTACTTACTGCTCTAAGGAGAAAAGTCTAAACCTCTGTGTTGAAATAGATCATATCAAACCTGCCTTCTACTGCAGGGTGCCAAAGCTAGTGTGGAAAGACCAATAGGTGCAATAGCAGAAGGGAAAATAGATTCTCCTGTAATGTTTCCATAGAGGCACTAACTTCATACCTTTACTAAGTACCTCCCAAGCTGATGAAATCAGCTCATGAAAGACTGAAGACAAATGATGTCTGTGTATCTTTGTAAATGGCTGATAGCAGTACTATCCTTGCTGAGGTGAACTTAATGCAAAGATTTTTGAGCCTTTTCATGTGTATGAGGTTTAGAAAGCCTGCTCTTCCCTTCTACTAATGCTGATTGTTGAACTAGTGCTTAAAACCACAACTTTGCAAAGGATTTGCCCTGTTGTACCCTGCCAAGATAGCTGATGTAAGACAAAGCACAAAAGGAGCAGAAATAAAGGATTCTTGAGCAAGCAAAACAGTCTAATATTCTGCTCTGCAGCCTTACCCTTTTAAAAGCCTGTTTTATTCTATTAACACACACACAAAAAGCCACGAGGAAGATCTAATAACCTAGAACAAACATGCCACAACCATCCAAAACCTGGAACATACTGTGCCTGGGGGTTAGCAAGCCAAGAGTTAACAAGGGCATTTGGGGAATGAAAATTCACAGAATTAAGGACAGGCCACATGCTGTTTTATTGCCTTCAAGTCTTGCTAAGACAAGTGTTTGTAGTAACTTCTTTGCCAAAGGGCAAACGAAATCGATTGCTTAGATAGATCTTTATTAAAAATAACTATTATAATGCAGGATGACTGGAAGTATAATGGACTATGTAGCTCCAGTGCTGCAGAGCTCAATGGGGGCTAGCTGGTTTTTGGAGAGGAGCTGTGGAAGTGAGCAGCATGCTGGCACAGCTAGGGTGATGACAGTGCAAAGGCAGTGAGTGGTCAAGAGCTCGCTCCAATACATGTGCCACACACTACAGCACGGGTGCAACCTTAATACATGGCTTAATTCTTCAGTAAGTTGCCTAATAGTTTCTGTGCCAAACACAGGAATCCCTGAACACTAATAACACTACACCAGAATGATACCTCATGTATCCCATGTTTGCATGCCGTAGAAAGCTACAGTTCAGCTAAACAATTAGTAGTGTTTCCTAGACCAGTGACTATTGGTTTTAGTCATCCTGCACTGCAAGACAGGTGGAACATGCCAGGGGTGGAAGTTTCAAAACCAAAACATAGCCCCATGTGCTGCCTCCACAGCCACAGTTAAAAACCCAAAAATCAACTAAAGGCAACGAACTACTCTCCACAACTTGCCATTTTTCTGGTTTTAAAGCACAGATCTGAGTACAGAAGCCGGCACAATAGTCTGACTCACTCGCTGCAGAGGTAAAAAACTCTGTGCCATCTCAGTAATTTAATTGGTGTAAGTGCCTGCAGCCTTCCAGGAAACATGATGCCCCCCCCCCCCT